AAAAAGCAAAAGCACTTGCATGGGTTCTTATAAGAACCAGTCAATGAAAATCATAGGTTTCTCACACTCTGCTAACCTTCGTGGTCACACACCATCGGTAGAGTCGTTGGCTGACAAGAATGTTCAGGAAGAGCATGCTCTGGTGTGTCAGGGAGTTTGGCCACTCTTGTTCCTGAGAGAGCTCACGGAACCCAAACCTCAGACCCAGAGGCGTCCCCACTACCAAACTGCAGCCCCACCAGCATTGAGGCCAGGGACGGTATTACAAACCACATCAATGTCCCACAGAGAATTTAAACCAAGAGGACATCCAGGACCAGCTCCAGTCAGGGCAGATGGAATTTTAGGGCAGGCAGAGTCGTAGACTGTGAGGACCCGGGATCTCACTAGAACAGGTCTATTCTAAAGGGTCATCTTCTTGCCTTTAGGGATGTGACAACATGTAAGTCCTGCTTTCTAAGGCAATTCTGATTTACGGTCTTCATACTGACTGACCATATGCCCTGACTTGTTTGGGGAAAATTTGCTGCTTTATTGAGGTATGACACTCCTGACGAATTTGTTCTTAAGGGGTCTCCACATCCTTCCCTTGATATAATAATAATGTGTTTTAAAACTTGCCCATTGTTACCAAGATTCTTCCTCATGGCTACTCCAAAATCTACCTGCTAAAATTTAAACTGGAACTCACTTTTGATGACCGAAAGACCAGGTGTTCGTAATGACTGCATTAAAAAACCTAGTTACATAAAACCTCTGTCTTCCCAGTCACACTTTGCATCCACCCACGTTTAAATGAACTCATGTTTCCCAGGCACGTACGAACCCCACTGTTAGAAAGAAGGCCAGGGCTGGCCACGGTGACCTGGGGACACTGATTTCGGCTTTGATTCTGGATTTGGACAATCCATCAAAGTTTATTACCATTTGGCTTGAGTCGAATGGAGAACTGAGAGAGTCATTTCCTCTCGTTCTTTTCTTTGTGGAAAGGACAAACAGCTGGCCCCTTGTGAGAACTCAGCCTCACCCAAACTTCAAGTCCAGCACATTCTTGGAGGAGCCCGTCCTGGACCTCTCCATTTCAAAGTGAGCTCACTGCATCCAAACTGCTAGAAGAATCTTTACACAATACCATCCGTGTGGCGAGTCACCACACTGCCCTGTGCTCTCACACCTGGTCCATCCTTTATCACTTTATTATCACTAACATTTCACAAGGATAGGAGTAATAATGGCTAACATTTATTACGCATTGGACCCTGTACTCATGGCGTGTTTAGCATTATCTAGTCCTCCCAACCACCGTGAGGTTGGTGCTATTATTATCCCCGTTTTATAGAAGGAAAAACAGAGACCGAGAAAAACAAAGTAACTTCCTTGCCCAAGGTCACACAGCTAGTCTAGTCTTGATTCCCAGTCTCTCTGACTCTGGACACGACTCCCCCAACAAGTTAAAAAATTCTACTGGACCCAGCACAGATCTTCTGGCACAGAGACCTATCACAACTGACTGTCAAGTGGGCTTGAGAATCACTGGTCCTCTCTCCTTCCACATTCTCTTCCCTACATTTCTATTGCCCTCTGCCCCCACCCCCCATACACACACCCTCCACACTGGGCACACTTCAACCCTGTCGGGTTTATGGACCTGCTTCCAAAACAGAAAAAAAAAAGGAAAATCAAAACCCAAATGTCTCTGCGAAGGTGAACCAGAGAGGGGCAGGACTGTTCTGGCGTTTTCATTGCTGAAATGAGGGACAGTTGTGTTCATTCCCATGCAGGCACCTGCAGATGTGGGCATGCATGCAGGCCGGCTCACCTGACTCCACTTGGGACCGGGTCACACCTATGCCTGGCATGCCTTGCATGTTCTCAGTCAGACTCTGAGTGTCTGTGGTGTGAAAACCCATCTCCATTCTAACCACTCTCCTGGAGAAGGCCAGAGGAGAGAAGGCCCAGAACATCGGTAGCTGCAACTCTGGTTTTTGACAGCTTTGACATCTCCTGGGCTCGAGCCACATCTGGGCAATCAGTGTCAAACCCCACGCGTATCTCTCACCAGCCTGAAAATTGCTCAAAACGTAGGAAGGAACAGCCAGCCGCCGCCCCCCCTCCCACCCCCTAGACCCAACACTGGAAGGGAGTGTTGGGGGGGATGTCATGCTTCTCAGAGGGGTGTTAAGAATCGCAGCACATGATGGAAGATGGGGTCCCAGAGGCTTCGTGAAAGGAAAGCAGAAGGCCAAGACCATCTGCTTAACCTTTTTTCCAGTCTGAAACCTCTGATTCTACAATATGGTACAAAGAACACAGGTGTTGCTCTGGACTGACCTGTGTCCCTGCCAAACTCCTATGTTGAAGCCCTCCCCTCCCCGTGGGCTGGTTATTTGGAGATGGAGCCTTTGGGAGGTCATTAGGTTTCAATGAGGTCATGAGGGTGGGGCCCTCGAGATGGGATTAGTGACCTTAGAAGAAACCTGAGAGCCTGCTGAACACAAAGAGGAGGCCCTGTGAGGACGCAGTGAGCGGGGAGCCAGGGACCGGGCTCTCACCAGGAACCGGGCTCTCACCAGGAACCGGGCTCTCACCAGGAACCGAATGTGCTGGCCCCTTGACCTCAGACTTCCCACCTTCCAGAACGGTGAGAAGTAAATATTTACGGTGGAAGCCCCCCAGCCTGTGGCATTGGTTATGGCAGCCTGAGCAAACTAACACAGGTGTCTGAGACAGGGGTTCAAATCCCAACTCCACCCTTTCTATAGCTGGGTGAACTTGGACGAGAGTTATTTTATTTTTCTTATCCACAAGTTTATGGATAAACCACGAGAACAGTGGTCGCCTCACGGGTCTGTGAGGAGGGTCGGGCGGGCTGATGTACGCGAGAGGTGCTCTGAGCTTTTCCAGACTAGGTCCCTTCCCCCCCCACTCATGCAGCCTTAGTGCTAGGACAGCCCCCCCCCCATCAGCAACGCCTTCATGCACGCTGGGGCTCCTCTTGTCAATGGATGGCCTCCTGGTCCCATTCAGCCCACAGATGTGTTTTGTTTGACCTGTACTAATGTTTGGGGGAAATTCGGATTATTTATCAACATTTAAAAGCCAGGAAACTTCACATAAAAGTCTTAATTTCCGGTTGAGAAAGAAGTTGACATGTCACCAGCCCCACGTCCTGCCAGGGTGATCCGCAATCCCCTTTCAACAGAGGGTGAACTCTCACCTCCCTGCACCCAGGCCAGCCTCCCGCCTTCAGAAGATGCGCTGGAAACCTGAAGGCTTCTGAGTTAGCTACCCCCTGGGGATAAAAGGGCTGGTGGAAACTGCCGGGCCCAGTACTTTTCCTAGCTGCCCACAAAGATTTTAAGTACAATTTCAGGATCAGTCTGCCAAAGTGAGGAACAATTAGCACGTTCCTGAGTCACTGTTTTATTTATTTATACTTCCACTGTGAGCTAAAGAACCCTCCCGAAGAGGCCAGGATCTTAGTTCCTGGAGTAAAATACAGTTCTTGCAACCCAGGGGTTGGCTGACCCAGCTTTGCCCCTGTCACTCAACTTTGTGGGACCTCAGTTTCCTTCTCTGTAAAAGGAGGCCTTGGGCTAGACAAGCTCTATTGTCTCTTCCCGTACTTGTGTAATTACTATGTGAAATTCAAGCTCCTGGGTAGAAATTCAACACGCCTCAGTTTACTTCTGAGCCCTAAAGGTTTTAATGAAAGCAGAGCTCTTAAAACACCTCACTGACCCTTAACACAGGTCTTCACTAAAGGTAAACAGGACCCACATAAGGGCCTTTTTTATTGTTCTGCCCACTCCAGGGTTGGGTCTTTAGCCTTGACATTCTGCACTTAACACACCAGACAGGAAAGAACATCAGGGCATTAAAAGGCCTGATGTACAACCTTCGTCCCCAGGAGATCCTGACGCTCCGGGCTGTGCCTGCCTCTCTGTCCAAAACACAAATCTGACCATACCACCCATCCCCCAACTTCTGGTATTCTCTGCTCGTGGGTCTTTTCAATGCCACCACAGGACCTCTGGACCTGCAGTTTCACCTGGTGAATTCCCACTGGTCCTCCAGAAGATAGTACCAGTAGGACATCACTCGTGGCCTTGGCAAGATCAAGTCGTACGGACGGGCTTTCCTCACAGCAGCTGTCGAAGGCACGCTTCTACATTTTACAGGTATGATTAGTTGACCAGTGAGGATCTCCCTGACTGAATATAAATCCCAGGACAGCGGGGTCCACCTCGGTCTTTGCTCAGTGTTGTCTCTCCGGTGCCTGGCCAATAAGGAGGCACTCAAATATTTGCTGAAGGAGTGACTAAATTTATGAAAAGCTGACACAACTGGGAAGATTCTGGAAGACAAGAAACCCCTCAAGGACCACATCCTATGGAGGGTTGTATCACCAAAACTTAACCATAATGACAGCGACAACACACACAGTCATAAGAGCCCCCAGTACTGAGTGAGCTCTGACCCTGTCCTAACAGGTCATTTATACAATAACCCAACTTAAATCTTCACAAGAATCCTATGGAAGTAGGCACATTTCCCATCCGTGTTTCATGTAAGAGGAAACTGAGGCACAAAGAAGTTGGTAAGTCACTTAAGTCGGTAAAAGCAACAAGGGCAGCAGCATCCCAAGCAGTCTGGTTCCAACCACGAGGCCATCTTGCCCAATGTGGCACCTAATGGTTAAGCAGGGCACAATCCATATTTATAGAGTATGTGACATCTGCCGTATGTCAACCCGCCCCCTGCAGAGGTCCCCCTACAGACACTATACACAGGAATAAATGTATGAACCCTTTGTGGATCAGAAGTCTAGACAGATAAGGGTCTCAGAACTTAGTACCCATATGAGTCAGTAAAAGCCAACAGAAACAACAAGAACCAAGCAGACAAAAACTTTAAGCTAAGGCTTCCAGCCGGGCGCCCCCACTGCCCCAGCTCAGACCCACGGGGGGAAACGGCCCCTAACCGAGCCATCTACATACCTGATGTTTTCGTTCAGTGCATAGAGCTCATTGCTTTGCAAGCCGCCCCCTTTGAAGACGTTGATCACGGCAGTCTGGACACTACAGGGGAAACAGAAACCGGCCCTCGTTAGAGGATCTGCCTGCCAAGGGAAACCTCAATAAGCAGCTCAGGGCTAAAAGCAGATGCAAGGGCCAGAGAGCCCATGGCACAAACATGGCCCATTTTCCATCCCTGGAAATCCATCATGTCCTTCCCAGGGTCCTCGGAGAGAAAGGAAAACTGAGGCCAAGAAGATCCCAAAGCAGCCCCTCTCCCCCACCTTTCTCAAAGGCAAGCTGGTATTCCTCACTGGCCTCGCTGGCAGCCCTGATGGCAAACAGCATTCATGAAGGGCAGGTGGTGGGATCTGCTCTCAGGACACTGGGCCTGGAGAGATCCAAAATGGGGCCTGCAGCGAGCAGATGCCAACAGTGCCTGGGGTTCCTTCACTTAGGAGGTCCCTGTCCTCACAAGACAGCCTGCATGCCTGGGGCTGATATGAAATGCTAATTCCTTGCCTTTTTGGTAGGGTTACCTTGGAGGAGTTTCACTGAGGCTAGCCTCTCTTGCCCCTTCCGTTCCCCTCCTGTGAGGTGCAGAGGCAGTAGGGGGTTAGTCCCTGGAGGGGCCACAGTTAAGTCTTGACACCACGTGCTCTGGGGCACCGGCCCAATATTTCAGCAAGGAGCAGATTATAATCTTGTCTTTATCAAGGATCCCAGGTTTTTTTCTTTTTTTAAAAGAACACAGATCCATTCACAGCAAAACCTGTCAGAGCCCCTCTTCAACCCCCATCATAAGAGCTGTGCAAAAATGAGACAATCCAAGATGATTCAAAGTACAAAGAATCCAGTAATGCTTTAAAATAATGATGCATTTAATTCATCCAAAGAGTAACTGCTAGATATGATAAAGAGCAGCCCACAAGGATGCAAAACACAGTGTTGATTCAGTCTCTACTCAATGCTTGGCCTACAAAACGTTGGCCAGACACCACATAAAAGCGCGGTGTCTCCTTTCCCACCCTCCTGTGGCTCACAGGTACCGAGAGTCCCCAGTTTATACCACTCATTTGGCTTTCCACAGTTATATGTCTTATCTTCCAGACAAGTAATAGGTGACTTGAGGTTACTTACACAGCCCCACCCCTGGGTCCTCAAATAGACTGGGGTGTGACTAAGGAACATGAATAGTAACTGTAAATTCCAATCCAACTGTCCTGGGCCGGTTAACTCACTCCGATAGCCCAGAGGCCCCCAGGGACCCCCCTCCTCTCTCCTCAAACAAGGGAAGCCAGCAAATACATTGTCCACAGGAAAACATGCTGTCTTCATCAACTGCCTAGATGTATAATCACGACCTTCAGGAACAGAGCTCTCCAAAGGAGCAGAAGCTAAGCCTGTCCCCAGGCCCTGCTCCGGCTGGCCCTTGGCAGCCCTCCACTCCACGACTATTGCCCCCCCCCCCCCCCCCCCCCCCCCCCCCCCCCCC